CTCGCGCTCAACTTCATCAACGTGGCGAGCCTTGCACGTGAGAGGCACAGTGGAGGTGGAGTTCAAAGAAGAATGAGAAATTCAATGGTTTCAATCTGCCCTAGTTTTTTCTTTTTGTTTTTATTTTTATTTTTGCATGTTATCACTGTGCCCGTTTTTTGCTTTTATTCTTTGTTCCGCAAAGTGCGCTCTTTTAGTTTGTAGTGATGTGACAATATATATACTGTATATCTGAAAGCTGGGCTACCAGAGTGGCCCGGGACAACTTGCCCGGCCAGGCCGAAAAAAAAATACCAGCTCCCTTTGACGACATGTATACCAGGGTATCAGCTCCCATTGACGACGTATATACCAGGGTATCAGTTGACAACATATATTCTCCAGACTGTTGAGGGTTCAGCCTCTTGATGAGTCGGTGAAACTCCGATGAGAAAGTTTGTTACAGCCCCTCCTCGTTTGTTGTCCTCTTCTCCCTCTGCGCCTACGGACTATAATAGTCACTATATATATTATTTATATTTAATACATTTTTTTATTGTAAATTTGGTAAAGAATTTCGATTTGAGCCTGAGGCAAAAGTGGTTCAGTTTATATTTCTGCATAACAATATATATGTATATTTTTTTGCTTTTTTTTGAATTTTTTTTTTGGATTTTCTGGATTTCTTTTTTTTTTTGTTGGGCTGGGAGCCTGGGACCTTCCCCGGTCCTTGCACGGCTGGGCCACCCGGGAAAACAAGGTGACCCGCGCGGCCCGGCTGCTAGCGTAGTCTGGAAGTGAATAAAGAACGCAAAAGGTGGTGTCCCACCTGCAGTAGTGTCTCCCTCACTCTCCCACAACAAAAGGGGGAAATTGAAAAAGGGTGTTTTGTTCCCGTTTCCTGACCCTCGTGAAATGCGCAATGGGAAGGGTGACTTATTTGATGAAACACTCTATCGACCACTGCCCTTCGCTCCAATGGGTATAGATCTGAAACTGAATAAAGAAAACGCAAGGTGGTCTCCCGCCTGCAGTCTCATCTCCCGCGAAAAAAAGGGAAACTCAAAAGCGTGTCTTGTTCTAGTTTCCTGATGTTCCCTGAAGTGCACAGCTGGAAGGGTCAGTTATTTGCCGGAATGCTCTATCAGCCACCGCCGTAAGCTGTATATTTCAATTTTGATTTATAAAAAAGTATTGTTTTCTGAGTGAGTAAGCTTAACTTCAGATAAAGCGCCTGATATTCCCTTTTGCGAGGAACGAGCCCTCGCTGGGCCCGTATCAGACATACAGAGAGGCCCGTAGCATGCCGAGTGCCCACCCTAAGTGAAGGCGGGCCTGAATATTCATCTGAGGCCAAAATTCGACATTTTCATATATGGGTATTCAGGCTGTTGCAGCCCGCCAGTTGGTTGAGTGGACGCGTGAGCCTCACTAAGCTGCGTCGTACAGTTGGCCCAGACCTTGGCAGTTGCACCTGGGCACATACACACAAAGCAGGGCCGGTACATCATGATGTGGCCACCGGCCTATGCAAAAGCAGTACTGTCGACTCATTCACCCCGGGGTCCTGCACAAATGCAGCAAGTGGCCCATGTCCAGAGACTCAGGCCATGCCCAACTGTAAAAGGCCCAGGCCCTCAACTGACTCGGGCCTGGGCGCAGGAACTGAGGCCCAACCGGAAGCTACCGGGAGCTTCCAGCCAGGCCACACGCAGCATCCAGGAGGCTGCCACTTCCATATAGGAAGTGAGGCAGCCCAGGCAAGGTATTCTGGCCTGCGTAGGCAATACGATCACGCTGCTGCGCTTCGACCAAGTGGGGTGCCGCAGGGCAGCGGTGCGCTGGCAGCCAGAGCCGGGCTGCTGGGCGCAAGGGGGTAAGAGGGGGCAATCAGGTGGTCTTCAGGGAAGGAGGCGAGTGTGTGGGTTCTCAAGGTCTGATGAGGGTGACGAGATACGTACCTGGTGCATGAAGAGAGGTCGGCTATGGTGTTGACATCATGTACATTGGTCTTCGAGAGTCGAAGTGAGCCTGTTGCGTGAACACAGCTGTAGGTAGGATAGTCGAGTAGAGTAGGCTAGGCGCTGGGCGTCAGACAGACAGGAGCGACTTTGGATACTGTGTTGGTGTGGCCTGCGGGCTTGAACATTGGCTCATTTCTTCATTGTATTGCTCTATTTGGATGGATTCTCGGTGCAATTGTGCTCTCTGCTTGTACACGACTGCTTGGACATCTGTGTGATTTCGCAACTTGGTTTTCTGTATATCGTTCACACTCATATTCCTTGAACTTGTAAGATGTTGCGACCCCGCAACCTTGCTTTCAGTGTCATGTGATATCTCATTTGCAAAATCACGATATGCCGGGGAACAAATTTCAAACCGCAGAACAAAAATCCGAAAGATAGAGTAGTCACGCCGACGGGCGGCGCCCCTGGATTGGTCAGGGGCGAACCAGTCGACAGTCGAAGTGGACGGCTCCTACCAGTTGGGGGTCGGTCGGCACCTCGCAAAAAAAAAAGGAAAAAAGAAAACCTTTTTTCTGTACCCCAAATAACCCATCAGCACTCCCATAGTGCCCCTCAACGCCCCATACGGCCCCCCAACACCCCCATACACCCCCCCAATGCCCCCATACCGCCCCTCAACACTCATACCGCCCCTTACCGCCCTACAACCCCCCTATGCCCCCCTTGTACCTCCCCCATAACCCACTGTACACCCCCCCGCCCCCAATCCCCAATCCCCAAAATTTTCTCCGTGGGTTTGTGCTGTGCTCAGCGAGCGCAGTACAGCCCTGAGCTCAGATTTCCGGAAAAAAAAAAGTGGATAGCCCTCTACAGACTGACGACCAGTCGGCCTACGGATTGGCCCGATTGGTAGGCGAGCCGACGGCCTATGGTCGGTGTTGGCCGTAGGTGGTCTGACAACCCTGAGCGATAGGGATAAAGTCGAAAGTTAAGAACGATCACTTGCTTGCGCCCCCCTGGCTCCTGGATGAATGGTGAGTTGGTATATAGGTGTTCTGTTATGCAAGTGAAGGGTTCAAACCCTGCCGAGCGGAATGATGTTAGAACTTAGAAGCCTACGTTACCAGAATGCCCTGGGACCACTTGTCCAGCCGTGGAAAAACCGGGGAAAATTTTCAAAAAAAATAAATCAAATTGATTCAATGTCATTAATTCTTTATTTTTTATTTTTTATTTTGAATTTGGCAAAAGAATTTCGATGCGAGGCTGAGGCAGAATTTATTCAGTTTATTTAACTTTATTTTTCTGTGGATTTTTTGGATTTTGTTTTCTTGTAAATACAGGGACCTTCCCTGGCCTTTGCCTGTCTGGGCTGCCCAGGCAACTATAAGGTGCACCGGGCGGCCCGGTTGGTAACACAGGTCAGGACCACAGAAGGAACATACAACTTAACAGTAGTGCATTTCTCCTTCTTTTTTTTTTTTTTTTCCCCCCCTTAAGCCAGTGGACCTAATTTCTGTTGGTTTGTGGTCTGCCCTGATTTTTTTTTTTTTTAATGTGCTTGATGAGCAGAGCGCCGGACCTTACTGGTGTGATGACGAAGTCTACAGCAGCTCAGCAGGCCGAACCACCGAACAAAAAGCTGAAAACAGGTAATGGATGAAGTTAGGTTTGTATTTCACTGAAGCCCATGTAGCTGTGAACGGTGCACCCACATCTAGCGGTTTTGTAAACAGATCATGAGTTCAATTCCAGATGGAAACGGATGGATACGACAATGGTAGGGACATCTATTTGAAAAACGTAAGGGTTTATCGGGCTGTATTTGTAGAAAATAAGGAGGTCGACTGAGTCGGCGGAAGAGAAAAGTGGAAAACCTAAGGATGGTGGTTCATGACACCCGGGACCAGGACATTGAACTCTTAGCAAGTACAGGGCAACTACTTGTTTTCCCTCTTTCTAGTGGCCGATGTCTGCCTCTGTCCAATGAAGCAATAACACTCCTTTTTTTTTTAGGTTTTTTTTTTTTTAAAGGGCGGCCTTGAGATATGATCATTGAACTGACCGGCCTTAGGTGATTGATAAATGTCGAATTTCACTCATCTGTTTCCAGTGGAGTTCGAACTCGGGTCTGTATTCCAACAGTTGATGGGTGTACCAAGTTACTACCAACTGAACTAGGCCAGTTGGTAGCACACCTTGTGTTTTATTTGCAGGAGGTAAAAAGTTACGCTCACAGTACCTGGCTATATACCTGAATGGCGGTAGTAATCACTTTTTTTAAGTTTTTTTTTTTCAAATGGCCATCTTCAATGTGCGAGGGTTGGATCCCTCGGCATAACCGCATAAGGCCCTGCATCAGGCACACACCCACCCTAAGTGAAGGCGGGCCCCTGAACTCGTCAATTTTTGCAAATCTTGGTCTGGGCCATACAGTTGCGACGCGCCAGTTGGTAATGTCCGCCTTGCTCGTGAGAATCCACAGTATTCGTGAGGCTTCCAGGCTCTTCCAGCAACGTGGTCGAAGCAGGGAGGAACGCACGCTTGCGCCTGGGTGGTTGGGCATGCCTAACCAATTTGGTCCTAAGCCACTTTGGCCGAGACTGAAGCTAGTGGAAACTCGGTCTCACATGGAGGAAAAAGCCCGCCACTTTCCATATAGGAAAGGGCACGGCGCATGGCAAGGAGGTCGGGCACTTGCAAGCAGACGCGGCAGCACTGCTGGAGCTAGCTCTCGCGGGCTGCTGCGCTAGTGCATAGGGAAGCGTGCGCGCACGTGTGGTCGTGCGAGAAGGCAGGGCGCTGCTGAGGGCAGCGCCATAGCCAGCCCCCATAGCCGGGCTTGGCTTCGACTTCAGCCAGTTGAGGGGGTGGTGGTCTTCGTGTATGGGGGTGAAGACGTGGGTGATGAAGGAGAGAGAGAGAGATAGATAGATAGATAGATAGATAGAGATAGATAGAGAGAGAGAGAGAGAGAGAGAGAGAGAGAGAGAGAGAGAGAGAGAGAGAGAGAGAGAGAGAGAGAGAGAGAAATGGGGTTGATGATGTGAGGGCACGTACCTGGTCTTGGTTATGGTCTACAAGGGCCGCCGTCCTCATGTACTTCGGTTCTGCTGCTGACGTCAACCGGATGCATTGTCAATTCGTAGGCTGCTAGTAAGCTGCCTGATCGTAGTCTGGGCGCTGAGCCAACTTGAAGTAGGAGGAAGGGCTCTGGATACATATGTTGGTGGTGGCGAGAGTATGCTCTCATTGACATTCGGATTCGGTACTTTGGTTTTCCGTTGGTGGAATATCAGTGCATTTCTGCTTTCTGGACAGCGTTGGATTTTCCGGCCTTCAATGTGAATTTGCATTCTGGATTTCTGTCATTTCCCTATTGATAATTTTTCCTTGCAAATTGTGTAAAGGCTTACAAAAAGAATAGTGGTCATGTGTACTGTCTGTGTGGGCTCTCCAGTGAAAACGATACAAGAATTGTATGAATAGATGCCTGTCTATTGAAATCGCGCCTTTCTTAAACGTGGAGACTTTGAATGCTTGTATTATAATCATATCCTGTTTAATGATTCAATCTGAACTGTTTGCTCTGACAAATGAACATTTCTCATATGCCTATTTTGCTTTGCCTTTTCTGTATCAGGCCCAATTTCTGCGACCGGTAGTGCTCGTTCAACGTCAGGATTTGATAAGCTTTCCGTCTCAAATGTAAGTATCACTGCAAAGAAGAGCCAGACCAGTGTTGCATGTACACTACTGCTGTACACGGTTATGTGACATATACATTGTCAACCAGAACTGCCCCGTGGGCAGAGAGAGGGAGAAGAGGACAAGAAACGAGGGGCTGTGTCAGACTGTTTCGTCGGAGTTTCCCCTACTCAGCAGGACGCTGATATTGATGAGTCGGTGAAACTTCGACGAGATAGTCCGTCACAGCCCGTCGTTTGTTGTCCTCTTCTCCCTCTCTGGCGATGGTTTACCGTGCAGATCGTAGATATGTGACAATATATGAGGAGAATGAATGGGCTCAGTGTGCCCTTTTAGTTCATAGATATGTAGATAACAATCACAACATTAATACATTATATAATATTAAATCATTTATTTTATATTTGTAATTTTGTAGTATTATAGCAGCTAATCTATTTTATGCTAGGCTACCAGCCGGGCCGCCGGGTCACCCTTGTAAGGAAAATGAGCGACAGCGAATTCCAGAAACCAAGCAGCATCATACACATGAAACCAGATAGTCTTGACGTCGAACCAAAA